AATGTTCAAACTCAAGTTATAGATTTTGATTTCCTTTTGCTTGGCACCATATGAGCTTTGGATTTTGATGAGCATCGGAAGCATTTCGGACTTATGATTTGGGTGGTACTCAGAAGGATTTCGGACTTATTATTTTTGTTATTATTACAAGTTATAGCCCTCAATTATCGGGATTTTTAGTTGCCATTTATTGCATTTCTCGTATACCACACAGATCATACGCCCAAAACGTTTCTGACGCTTTAAAGTTGACCAAAAAATACGATGGTCGGGATTTCCCTCACGTTTAAAGTTGAAAAAAAACAATGGAAATTAGGAATAATCAATGATAACATGCATATTGGCTTGGGCTAATATTTATAGTGGAGTCGAAATTTATATTGAAATTCAAACTCAAATTGAAATTTAAATTCAAACTCCAATTACATATGAAATGAATTTGAAATGCAGTGTTAAATTGAACATGGAAATTGCATAATTGATTCATATTGTTCAAGTAACATGCTTTATGAACCATCAAGCTAAAAGACAATATTGATTGAGTTCAAAGCTGAGTTGTGAGTTGATGGGGTTGTCACACTTGCCACATGGTTGGAATAAAGTACTCACATGGAAGAGATAGATTGTTTTGTTATACACAACCCATCTCATCTGAATGAAAATATACATACAATATAATCAAACCAAAACATACATACACAACAAATTTATACATAACAATGTTCAAATAAAGTACCCACAAAAACGAAATTAATCCGATGAAAAAGGGTTATTTCTAACGAAGTCCGGAACATTATTTTTCCAAATAATGTACCCATAACAATGTTCAAATAATGTACCCACAACATTGTTTAATTGATTTGTTGTTTAATTTTCAATCTGAATTATGTTGAAGGTAAAAAAGACCTATTGAAGGTAAATTCGCAACGCGAAATAAGCGTTGCGATAGTCAAATTCGCTACGCGATAGTCAAATTCACAACGCTTATTTCGCGTTGCGAATTTGACTTTTGTGTTGCGAATTTGACTTTTGCGTTGATCGTAGCATACAACATCAAGGTATATACAACATCAAACACATTTCAAGCTATAAATACAAGCTAAGGACACTTAAAGAAGCAAGAGAACAACTATCCAAGCAATCAAACACAAGAGAAAATCCCAACATGATAACAATTGAATAGATCATATAAATGTTCAAACTCAAGTTACTAATGAATGTCTAACTGAAAATGTATGCATTCGCACATAAAATACACATAATACAACGTTTGCATTTAAAAATCACCTAAGTTAATAAGTCCCAAAAGGTGAAGCCGGTTGTGATTGGGATTTTGATTTTGATTGCGATTTTGATTTCCTTTTGCTTGGCACCATATGAGCTTTGGATTTTGATGAGGATCCATTTTTTGGTAGAGAAAAAGATGATTGTGATGGCACTGGTGATCCACAGGTCAACCTTGTATGACTACTCTCCTTGCACCGACTACATGTCGATATCCTCTTCTCTTCACCCTTAGACGGTATACGATCGTGATTTTTTGGTCGGCCAGGTAGCATGATGTCCATGACTGGTGGCAAAACTGTTTGTAAGTCATCTGGTATGTCCCACTCAGAAGGATGTGGACATGGGTAGACAATCTCGGTATAAGTCTGTCGATATACTTCTGTAGTGTAGCAATCCATAGCGTATGCGCTTGAATCATCTTGGTTTAGATGAAGAGCAACTTTTATAACATGGCCACACGGATAACCAGATGTTTGCCATTTCTTACAACTACACGTCTTTGCATTTAGATCGATAAGTCCATTTAAATTATTATCTAATATTTCAAACAAAGTGTTTGAACATGGTTCAACTCTCCAGGACATTGACTTCACATAACGTTTTGTTATCTTTTTTTCAGTCCATGGTGTAACACGACGTTCCAATGTTCCTGTAAATTTAAATAAATAATACTTAGTAAAATATATGATAAGTTACGAATTTAAAGAAATAATACATGCATGGTTTCTTTTCTTGTAGTATCACTGTTGAATAGAGGCTCGAAAAAACTCCATTAACATAGTAATGGGTAATTTCCGGGAATGACGACTTAGAGCGTTGATTGATTATGCACTATTAGACGTCATGAAACCATATCTTGCTCCAAGTTGATGTACTCTTGACCATCTTTCAAACCCGACATCTTCTAGTGTTTGAGCACATTGAGGCAAAACACGTCTTAAACAATTTATATGCTTATTAAAATCCACTTCCCGATAAGCTTTTACAGCATTCTAGTATGTCCATTTGTGATTTTTCATACCAGCAGACCTTGATTTTAGATTTCTGTACAAATGAACACCACAAAGTCCATGAAAAGTATATGGGAAACACCTTCTAACAGCGTTGTCAATTGAGTTTGCCCTATCGGATATGATTGTCAGATTGTTAATAGGACCTATACAATCCCTAAGATGCCCCATAAACTATGTCCATGAATCAGAGGTTTCAGATTTGCCAACCCCATAAGCTATTGGCAGTATCCCATTGTCAGCATCCATGGCTACTGCTAATAAGTTTACTCCAAGGTATCAACCATTCAAATGTGCTCCATCAACTATAATAACTGGGCGCATGCAAGTAATAAACGAACGAATCTACAAAATCATATACACAAGAAATATAATCATTTAAATGTGAAATGCATGCAACTAACAAAAATGAGTCAACAAAATTATAATTATTTACTAACCGCAACACCAATGGTGATAAACAGCAACTTAAAGCTTCCATCTCTATCTGTTTTGATATGAGTTACCGACCCAGGATTTTTCAGCTTTAAATTGTGACAATAAGCTGGTAGTTGGGCAAACGATGCTTCTGGTGATCCCTTCAACAATTCCAAGGCATAACATTTGGCTCTCCAAGCTTGAAAATATGAGATATTAATCTTGAACCGAGCATTCATGTCAGTCATAATTTCATGTCCCCGATATACCCTTCCATTCAAAAACATTAACTCAGCTAGAAAACCACCCAACACCTTTTTGTTTGTCTGTATATGGTGAGGAAAAACTTGGGTTCTTGAACATGTATGTTTATCAATAAAAGTCCTAACTTGAAACATTTCGCAATCTTTTATCCTCTTAGCAATCATACGCCACATACAGTTTTTGTCAATCATACACCTTGTTTCGAAATGATTTTTGCTTGATTTGTTAACTCTTAGTTGATAGCCATCTTCCACACATTTCGTATACAAAGCTATCTTCAAGTTTTCTTTTATATCAAAACAATCATCTTTCTTGATACGAATAACTTTTGTGTAACAATCAACTGATATCTTTACCAACTCTTCTTCCAGTATCTGAAGTAATTCTGACATATTCCAGTTATACTCTCGTGGCATTTTCTTCTTTTTCCTTTCTTCGGGGACTTCTTCTTCTTCTTCTTCTTCAGGGTTATATGAATTACAGAATGGATGTTCAACATGTTCATTCACAGTCGTAACTTTCTCCTCATTATCATCAACAACATCTTCCTCGGCAGCGGCTGTTTCATCATCAAAATTCAGATTTTGACCAATATCAAAATCATTACATGCATGTTCTGTTTCTTCTTTCATCACATCATCAAAATCCGAGTATTGACCAAGATCAAAGTCCGGGTATTGACCAAGATCAAATTTCAAATACTGACTAATAATCACAATTTTTTCTGTTGGCTCATAATAGTCTAACTGGTCAATACGAAAACCGGAATTTGGTGCTGAAAGTTGATTGGGATTTGGATTAGGAAAAGGTTGTGTGTTTTGAGATTGTGTTTGGTATTGGAAATGTGGTAAAACAAAATTTGCTTGTTGATGAAATTGTGGTGGAACCATTAAATTTTGGGTTGAAGAACTTAGTTGATTACTACCCGCTACTGACCCAACTTCACTACTTCTAGGTTCAACAACATATAATGTAACATCATCTTCTTGCGAAACACTAATGTAAGCAATGAATCGTTCAACATCTTCATTGTCGGTTAACAAATAAACTTTACCTTTTCTCAGATAAAATAGCCTAAATCCACTTAGAGGCTCTAAATTCAATTTCTTTGCAACACGTAACATTAGAGTTTCATAAGTTAACTTTTTTAATGACAGTTTTAGTTGAAGATTCATGGGTAAAGGCACATATTGTAAAACACCATGAACATTCTCCCATGACCTTCCAAAACACAAATTTATCCAAACATGATCAACATTAGATGATTTCATTCTAAAAATTGTAAATTAATTTATTAAACAAACGAGCTATAAACTAGATATCATCACTAACTTAGAGAAAAACATACATTTTTTAAGTTGATAGTTGATAATTTGGGAGAGAAATCATTGAAAAATTATATAGAAATAAAATTATGTAAAAAAAATAGAGATGGAGAATGATGTCGTTGGATATAGGAACGGATGTCGCCGGAGAGAGTGATAGATGTAGATGGAATGAGTTGCGATTTAGAGATTTAGGTTATGAGTTGCTGCTGCCCAAAACATTTGTGTTGTGAAACTAAAACCTGTTGCGAAATTAAATTCGCGTTGCGAATTTGAAATTCAGTTGCGAATTTGACTTTCGCGTTGCGAATTTGACTATCGTGTTGCGAATTTGATTTTCGCGTAGAGAATTTGACTATCGCGTTGCGAATTTGGAAATTCGCAACGCGAAATTGGAATTCGCGTTGTGAATTTGTTGGTCATTTTGACAAATCTAAAAAAAAATTAATTAAATTCGTATATTATAAGACATTTTTGATCAGATTATTTTCTCTTTAGAAAATAGTACTTGGAAAGATCAAAATATAAATATAAGAATAGATAGGTGACGTAGTTTACCCTATTGTTTTTTCTTAAAGTAAATTGAAGTGTATCTCCATCCGTACATGGAGCATCGGGTCGGATAAATGAACGGTCTAGATTAACGGGGAGTAGTGGTACGATACAAACAGATAGAAAAATCTGGGATGAAGAAGACAAGACAAGTCAAATCTCTTTTACAAGGCTGGAAGCGTCGCGGTCGTGGCGGCTGAAGCCTGAAGCTCCTCTCTTTTCAACTCTCTGTTAAAGTTCTAGTAAAGAAGAAAAACGAAAAAGAAAGAAGACAACAAATAGAGGGCGGAGAAAAGATCAGCCATTGACAAACACAGAGAGCGGCAATCTATGAATTCACTGCTCAAGTTTCGAAAGCCATTAAGCTCTTCCTTCACCTCATTATCCTTGCAACGCTTCTCTTCAACTCTCAACTGTAAGCCTTTTTTTTCTCTTTCTCTCTTTCATATGTATATATATATATATACATACACTATGAAGATTGAACAGCTGATTAATTCTCTCTCTAATGTCGAAACAGATGCTTTCAAGGAGAAAAAGGAGGCGACGAGCTTTGTACACCCAACTGCAATTGTTCATCCCAATGCTGTGATTGGCCAGGTGCTTTGTTTTATACTAATCTGGAACTCAACTTTTTTATTTCTCTTAAGAGGTATTGGTATTTGGGTATCTGAAATCTCTATGATTTGTTTTGACTGTTAAAGCTAAGTTCTTTGTTGGCTGTACACCGTTGTAATTATTTGTATTCATGAGTAAAATTTCAAAATTGATGGCACAGGGTGTTTCAGTAGGTCCTTTTTGTACAATTGGTTCTTCTGCAAAGCTAGGAAATGGATGTCGATTGCATCCTTCGAGCCATGTTTTTGGAAATACAGAATTGGGGAACCACTGCATTTTGATGACGTGAGTTTACTTTGGTTGTCTTCCTTTCCCTAGTATGCGAGGTTCTATTAGAAATATGCATGTTTTATGTTGTAATTTATGCAAGTACTAAACTTTATCAGGCAGTGGTGCGGTTGTCGGTGATGATATTCCCGGGCGTACTGTAATTGGATGCAATAACATCGTCGGGCATCATGCTGTGGTTGGAATCAAATGCCAAGACATGAAATACAAGGTAACTTATCTTATTTGGCTTTTCATCGGTTAGAACTTAGAAGCATCCTACATGTATGGTTCAAGTGTTATATATTTTCGAAAGATATGACCACTTGCCGTTATACTTCTGTGCTATTAGTTAGGGGATGAATGTTTTCTTGTTATTGGGGACAACAATGAGATCAGAGAATTTACTTCAATCCACCGATCTTCAAAAGCATGTGATAGAACAGTAAGTAATAATGTAAAATAACCACATATTTGTTTTCTTATATCTCTAGTCGGAAACATGTATATTATATGGACGTTTTATTCCCTTATCTAACTAGCTATCTTATCAGGTTATTGGCGATAACAATCTTATCATGGGATCTTGTCATGTTGCGCATGACTGCAAAATTGGTAACAATAACATATTTGCTAATACAACTCTCCTGGCAGGACATGTCATCGTGGAAGTAAGGCTTCTTAATGTTTGTTGAAGTCGTCCTGTGTATATCTATCTGACAATCTCGTAGACAACAAGTCTGTGCTTAAAATATGATTTGAGTGCTATAATGTAGGACTATGTGCACACTGGAGGAGCAACCATTGTTCATCAGTTTTGTCATATTGGCTCATTTTCTTTCCTTGGTGGTGGATCTGTGGTATGATTTTTTAGTTGCACAATCCACCTGTAGGATAGTTCGATCATATTGCTGAAGACTTTTAGATATTCCTTTTCATTTTCTGAAGAACTGAGCTCTGTTTCCCATATTCATTTCCGTGCATGAAGGTTTCGCAAGATGTCCCAAAGTACATGATGGTTTCTGGAGATAGAGCTGAGCTTCGTGGTTTGAATTTGGAGGGTCTTCGGCGTTGTGGATTCCAAGTTGCAGAGGTTGTTGGAAAATCCAAATCTTTTTCTGATTGCTTAACAGTTTAGTTTTATTAATTGCTCTAGGATAGGAAAGACTTTAGTGTAAAAAGATCGATTTTGTTACTGTAGTCTTCTACTGGTTAATTTTATATCATTTTCTCTGGATTTTTAAATCACCTTCTTTTTTTCTTTCGTGCAAGGTTTTAGATTAAAAGTCTGAGAGCAGCTTATAGAAAAATTTTCATGCCTAGTGACACAAACTCTATGGGTTTCGATGAGCGACTCTCTGAAGTGGTATGACCTCTCTCTATCTTTCTCTGCCACATGAACTCAGACAAATACGAACATAGATTCATGTTACGAAAAACTCAAGCTATATATCAACTTTTTAGGAACTTAATGAAGATTTGGGCAACATTCCTGCTGTATGTTCCATGCTCCAGTCCATCCGTGATTCTTTCGCTGAAAATCGTCGTGGAATATGCAAATTCAGACAATGGAGCCGTTCTTGAAAGCATTGCCAGAGTGAGTTTCAATTTAAGCTTTGACCTTTGCATGTTTGTGTATATATATTTGTATTCTTTTATTCACTGCTAGCTATACGTTTGCCCTATAAATAGTCTTTAATGGCATCTAATCTAGAGAGACACCTTCAGCTAGACATCTTTGTAGTTTACGACGTTCGATCACTGCGTCGGAACCGGTGCGGTTGGACTTACTTTCCGGTGTGCTTATGCAGATCTTTACGACAACTGTAGCTTTCCGAGCTTTGTATTCTAATTGTAGCATGCGCTTTCATGAGCCAATCCAAGAAGCTTTAGCTTCTTTCATGAAGGTTTGATTTGTGGTTCTCTGATATACACACATTCACATTTTGATTGAAGCTGCTATTGGTTTAACCTATGTTACCTAGACCAGGGAGTGAGTGTCGGATACGGATGTGTCGGTCCGACACGAGTATACTCGACCCCCCCCCCAAAACAAGTATTTGATATATTTAGAGGATCATATCCTCATATCTGTGTCTGAGTATGTGTTCGGCATGAGTACAACAAACAATATGAAGATACCGGATGAGATAGGGTCAATTTATCGATTAAAAGGTTGCAATTATATAATTTTTTAAACGGTGATAGTTGAAATAATGTCACATATATGATGAGAGTCTAGAAAAGTATTTCGTATTTTTTCTCATATTTTTTTTAAATACAATCATATGTAATATAATCATATTAAATTAATAATTGATATCACCCATCTCACATAGTTATCCTAAGAACATTATGGACTTCCTAAGAAGTCATTTAGTTTCTAGTCAAACAAGATTAAATATATATTTATATATTTTCATATCTTTTACGAAGAGAGATTCCACTTTTGTGATAAATGCCAAATAAGTGTATTTGGAAACATGTAATTGGCGTTGTTTACCATGGGACTAATAAATTCCTCAACTTGCCCTATGGATGTTACCCATCATTAACATAATATCATTAAAAAAACTACTCGGTCCATCATCATATAATAATATACCATATAATTGACAAGTGGTAGTAGTTGGGTAACAAATCTGTCCAATATTATATAATGGTTTATGCTATCGTATTAGATAAGTTATTATTTATACTTCATCAAAAGAATTATTGATCTATATCGTTATTATTGTAATAATCCACAAGTAATAGGCACAAATTTACTTAATTGCGTTTGCCTTCAATCCATGGTTATGAGTAGTAATGTTATGTGTAGGTATTGGTATGGGTCGAATTGAATCAGATTTTCGTCTGATCGAATATTGTATTCTTTTATTTGTCATTTGATTTGGAGTCAAAAAGATTTTACCTAATTTGAAATTTGATTTGATCTCACGTTAAAATTGATTTACTAACATAAATATATATTTTTATAAAAAAAAAACCAACTTTATAAGATTGGTTCAAATAGAAATTCGTTGAACCTAGAACCAATGATCATCTCTCATTATGTGAACTTTTTTATTTTATTTAATAATCAATATAATTTAAACATAAATTTCAAGCACAATTCCTCGTGTATATAATATCTTTTCGTTTTAAATTTTTAATTATTTCAACATTAAATTTGACTGTTAATTTAAGGGGGGAAATAATATGATATGATAACAGTTTCCCCCCTAAAATTTATGTATTTTATTAAATTAATCACCATCCAAAATAATTTAATATTTTTAATATTAAAAAATGATATTAGCGAAGATATTTGTCCAAGTATCAATAATTGTTGATAATATATTTATAATACATATTGATGGTCGATCGAGCTCAAACTTTCAAACATCATATTTTATTTTTTATTTTTTTGTTAGTTTTAGAAATAAACAGTATCCACGTGTATAGATACTATTTTTTGTTTGACAGCAATAAGAAACAAAATTATTATCATTATATTAGAGTAAACTATATTAAATATTATTAAAAAATATATAATGAAAATGTCACTGACCTATAAATTAATATAATAGTAACACTATATTTTAGTTTTGAATTTAATTATATCCTTATATTGTTAAGTGATAAACGACGCATTTACGAAGATGATAATTTTTGTTAATGAGATGACATGGTTAAACAAATATTGTTCTTGTATGGATATATTAATAGTTAAACCTTTTAATTTGTATATTGACACTGTCACTAAATTTTAAAATTCTTTAATTTTAGGCATTGGATTTTTTAAAATATCATTGGCTATCGTTTGTCACCAATATCAATTTGTATTAAAATTGGTTCTAAAATATTCACATTCTACTATTTTTTTCTCCTCATATTGATTTTTCATGAAATTCACTCAAAATTATCTAAATGTTCAATGTGCTAATAATATGATATCCTCATATGACTGGCCGAATAGTCTAGTTTTAAGTTATGTTGTTTGTCTTTTTAAAATGATGATTATCACATTCAGATTTTTTAACGCACACCCAAAATCTTTATGTTCAATAAAGTTTTAAAACTCTAAAAGATGGTGATTTTTCTGTTAATTTCTCAAGTTTTAAAAATATTTTTAGAAAATATGAACTGATAAAGGACGATGAGATGATTTCATTAATGTCTAGTATAATCACAAAATACATGTAAGAGTGACGATTTTTTATGATAATTAAAGTGAAAAAACTCTTAACATTAACAAAAGAGAAGATGTGGTGAAATTTAAAAAAAAAAAAATTAACTTTCATATTAGCATAATTCAACACTATGTCAACATCAAATGATCATGTTATCCTATTGTTTATTAATTAATAATCTAGTGATATAATTGTTGTAAAATTAAAATTTAGTGATACAACCATATTAATTTATAGTTTAATGACATTTTCAATACAAAAATGAGAGTTTTGGGACCTTTGGTGTAGTTTATACATATTATATATATTTTGAGATTGTCACACTGCATATACATCATATAGTATATTCGAGAAGCACAACAAGCTAATTATATATTAACATATTTTTTTGTCGTTAAACATGTAAAACCAATGATAAATTTCTTTTAAGGAACATGATAAAGTATAATATAATATAATATAAAAATAAAGAATATAATTTGTTTTTTTTTAACCCAAGTTGGGAGAAAAATATCCAAACAAGTCCATCCAATCATCTCCACTAGGTATGCCCCCGTTCTCATGAAACCCACCTTCTATATCCATCGGGATTACATTTCACCAAACATCTCACTTCTTTTGCTCAAATTCCTCTCTCTCTCTCTTTAAGTTTGTTATCTGTTGGTTGTTGGTTGGTCTGAGAATCGGGTGTAAAGCTTTGTCAGGAAGGAAATGGGCAGGAAGTGCTCACATTGTGGGAACATAGGCCACAATTCGAGGACCTGCACCACTTTCAGAGGTACTACTGGCGGCGCCGGAGGCTGCGGCGGAATTAGGCTCTTTGGTGTTCAGCTGCAACTCGACATACCTTCTTCTTCGTCCTCGTCTGTTGCTGCTGCTAATTATATGAAGAAGAGTTTCACCATGAGTTGCTTGCCTTCTTCCTCGGCATCGCCTTATCCTTTGTCTTCTTCTCGAGTTTCTGTCGATGAAAATTCTGATAAAATATCTTTCGGTTATCTTTCCGATGGTCTCATGGTCCGATCTCCCGAGAGGAAAAAGGGTACGTATAAAAGTTCTTCAATATCTTATCAGTTGCTTATATATATTCATATATGGTTTGGATATGTAAAATCAGGAGTTCCATGGACGGAAGAGGAGCACAGAATATTTCTAGTAGGGCTTGAGAAGCTAGGTAAAGGAGACTGGAGAGGCATCTCTAGAAACTTTGTTAATACAAAAACTCCGACCCAAGTTGCAAGTCATGCTCAAAAGTATTTTCTCCGACAGGCAACTCTCAACAAGAAGAACCGACGTTCTAGCCTGTTCGACATGGTACGTTATCCGCAACGCGGATCTTTCCGTCCGGTTATCCGTCCATGACAGTTTAGAAGCAGTAGCATGGTCGGGCCCCCTCCTAGTCTCACGGTTCCTCGATTCCATTCACATATGTCGGACGATGATTCACAAACTAGAACATCAAATGCGGCACACTCCGAGTCTCCGAACGCGCGTGCCTGATCTCGAGCTCACGCTTGCCGCCCCGAGGCCGGCTTTGGAAGAAAACAAGTCATCCCGAACAACCCTGCTTATCAGACCTATCAGTGTTACTTGATAAAGATGAAAGGAACACAATACTATAGAAATTAGCAGTGGTTAATTAATTAATCCTTCCTTTGTTAATCATAATTAGTAGAATCTTCCTTTCATTCGTTGTCCATAAACTCAGTATAATTACAATATCTCAAGGGCTTAAAGTCAGAAATAGCAGCAAGTGCCGAGTTTTATATATACATCATCAATGTATTACTGATATGATAACAAATTAAGGCATCTTTTGTACATAGTCATCTTCAATGGAAGGCGATCAAATTTTGTATCATTTTCAAAGTCCATAGCAAATCTTTTTTATATATATATTTTATGTTACGATGATAATATCAGTTACATCAATTCCTAGAACCTTATGCGTATATATATCACGAACTCTCTTTTGTCCATTTTCTTTCGATTTTCGAAGTGCTAGCTGGGTTAATAGCGACAGTTGTGGAAAAGAAACAAAGTGAAACGATCATTGAAGATAAAGGCCCTTTAGCCTCCTATCTTTTAGCATTACATTAATGTGTAAGCTCGTGTGCGGTGTGCCTTTAAGGGAAAATAAATAAAAAAATGGAATCTCGCCATCTTTGATTTTGGTTCCGATATACCTTAAGATATATTAGATCGAGAAATAAAGTTTCTCGTATTCGTTTTTAATTTCATTAAAAATTCTAACCTAAAATTATATCGATTTAAAAGATATTAATTTTTGCATTATTAGACTCATCACGAATAGAGATGCTAATATGGTGGATGGTTGGTTAATTCGAATCTGATTTAATACTATGACAATAAAATTTAACTTAAAAACTCAAATTTGATTAAAAAATGATTTTATCAAACCAGATTGAATTGAAATCCATCTGATCGTCCTAATTAAATATTTACATCTCAATATTCATGAGTAATCCTTTCTCTTGTCCCAAGATACGAAATAACACAAAAAAATCACTCTAGTTTTCTTCATTTGCATCACATGATCTATACGCAAATTGTGTAAATTTGTTGGGTTTTTTTCACTCTTTACAGCTGGTCCATATGTGCTTTTATCTACAATATCTCTACAAAGTTACGAGGAAATGTTGAAGAGCCTGCGCTTTTTCATGAAAGGTATTTTCATGGAACATGAAGTGGATAATTAATACACAGGGAAAGACAAGGTGTATCTTGTCCTATACCTGGAGCTTGGGACATGGATTGACAATTCAGCCACTTATTGAGCCCTTCTCTTGAACACAAAACCCCATCTTTCATCAAATCCCAAAAATAATCATGAATTAAATTACACGATAAGAAATTTAATATCACTAAAAAGGATTTAAAATTGAGAATAATACTAATTTTTTTTTATCTTTCATTTAAAGTTTTGATATGATTCTGATTTTTTTTCCCGAATATTATTTAAGACAGTATAATTATCGAGCAAACAAATTCTTCCAATTTTGTTGTGATTGGACGTGGGGCCAAAACCATGGGTTGGTGTTGGAGCATAATTGCACGTGCATGTATGGATATTATTATATGAGACAACTCAATCAAATTTAAGAAAAGTTTCAGCAACAAAAACAAAATAATTATGTGACTAGAAGATTGACATGTGTATCATTCGTTTATCTATTTAACGAACAATCGAATGTTTAATACTATTGTATTTTACCTATATTTTAGATGATTTCCATCAGAACCGTCATCACAATTTAATTTCTATATTAAATAAACTTTGAGATGGTTCCAATTTCTTTTAGGACCTATTTGCTAAGATGTTCATAGTAGAGGGACTCGAGGAGAAGTTCCCCAACTTTGGACTTCTTTAAGGATAAGGAAATGAAGCTTGTCCACAAGCTTAAAATTAGCAGTCTGGAGCAGTATCATTGGCATTCAAATTTGCCATTTTGCTGCTAAATGGGAAACCATTGAATTATATTACAGGGTAGGGAGGGGACCTCTCTACCTGGGAATCTCACTAAATAATATCTCTCGTTATGTTAATTGTAAGCATTGTGTAGTAATATACAGAAGAAAAGCCAAGCCAATAACTGAGATTCTACGTAGCTAGATCTTTACCTCCCGTTAGGGATGATTATGAGTTCTGTCAAGTCAGATTTCGATAGACTAAATTCCACCTAAAAAAACATATTCATTCACCTAGAAACGACTCGAGTCAGAGTCTTTATTCAATTTGAAATTCAATTTAATTTTTAGAGTAATACTTGCACCCATCATATATATATATATATATATATATATATAAAAGTCAAATATTTTTTATTCTAAACTCGAATATCGTCCAATTAAAGATAAAAAAAATAAAGAATCCAATAATAAAAACTGATTTATTTACCATCAGTTGAAACATATCTTACATTCCTATTAAAAGATGTTCAATAAATGAGCAATGTACCTATAATGTCATATATGTAGCCCAAAACACGTACCAATTACGACACATGTTAAATAAAACATGGCATAATTATAGATCTAACATGATTTGAGTTGGGTTGGTTAAATTAAGAAAAATTTAGGAAATATTATTGGCTCATATAGACCATAGATTGTAGCATATAGATTTGGTGGGTTCATTTTGTAGTTTCTTGTAATATGAAACAAGTGGTTATCTCGAAGGTGAGTTTATATAATTTAATTAATATTTCTTGTTGATCTTTTCTAATTGTCTAATCTACCAAAAAATTTAATCATTTAATTAATATTTAATTAACTAAACAATATCCCCAAAGAATATTTTAGAACACATGCCCTTAATTCATGGTAAAATCCCTTTATAAATTTATATATAAAAAAAATGACAAAATGGTATTTATAAACTCGATTAACTTAAAAAAATTCATTAAACTCGATCTAATATTTATAAGCTAGCTATTCTAAATAATATGGATTTTGTAACAAGGGTATCGGTGCACTCAACCGCTTCGGTCAATAAGCTCTTATGCGACTTGAGCAGCGAAGAACATTTAGTGACCAAACATAACACGAAATTCCCAAATTTTAAAGATTTGGAAAATCTTTCAGCCATTTCCCTAACACGGTACACTAGACGATCAACAGAATCCTGAGTTAAGTGAACATTATGATTTAAGATGTTGTGTAAAAGGTTAAACAATGAATCTGTCCATACCAATTCGTTTGAGACGAGCGATTCGTGACATGGAAGCAAGATGAATCTCCTCTCCACTTCTCCTCCGCAAAGAAGTGTCCGGCAGAAGGCGGAAACGTGAGCCGGGTGCAGGCATTCCTTCAGGATCCTGGTAATCACGTCACAGATCGGGTTATTGATACCCTCTCTTCGCAATACGAGTGGAAGCAATAACCCGTGTGCTGCAGCCCTCTGATGAAGCTTGCAATACCTGATCGTCGAAGTCAGTAGCAGGCGAGAAGCTGGCTCTGCTAGAACCAAGAACTTGGGAAGCACGATTGAGCAGAGAACCTGACTTGGCCAAGCAAGCTCATCTTCATCCCCACTCGAAAGATGAGAAATTAGCACCGACGCAGTCTCATCCTCGGCTTTCCAAGGCTCGATCAAACTCATAACTTGTAAAGGGTTCACTCCTTTGTCCAAGCAAAGTTGGCGAGTTTCATTTGCTAAATCTACAGCTTTGAAAGTAGACTCAAAGTTTATAATCCTGTCTCTCAAACTAACAGCCGTAGTTTCAATTTCAGGATCTAAAGACACATTCAGAGCGCTAACCACCTCCGTCTTGTCCTCGACTTCCTTCAAACCATTGTCTTTGTTTTCTTCAACTTGACTGAACAATGTCTCATCATTGTCCGAGCTATAAAACCTCGGACAAAAATCAGCTCCGGATAAAGGTAGCCAATACAGAAGCGGATCATCAGCTGCAGCCATGTCATTGAGCCAATCCGGCAAGTACTCGAACTCTTCGACTATTTCTTCACGAGAGTCCAGACTAAAATCGGGAATCCACTCGTTAACATATTTTGGTTCAGACATTCTATCGAGCAGGTTCCGTGCTGATTTCTTCACCCAAAGATCAAGCCCTTGACTTTCGCTCAACAAATTACGTGCTAACTTAGATAACTCCTTCGCATTAAACCTCTTATTCTCCAAAGCAAGAAACGACAATATTCTTGACTGAACCATACCTGGTAGAGTCTCTATAAACATAATCCTTAAGCACAAAAGGAAAAAAATGAAAAAAAGGAGGTCAACTCATCGATCACTAGAATTCATAAAAGAATATAAAAAAAGAAGAAAGAAATCCTCTTTAATGCTTAAAATTTATGGGTTTACCTTTTTGATGTGGTAGCTGAAGAAAAAGATGAGTCTTTGACAATCGGGTTGCAGGGTTTGGTAAGCAAAGAGAGGAAAGAGCTTGTAGTGATTGGAGTTGCTGTTGATGATGACGCTGTTGTCGCATTGAAATTTTGTTGCAGCCAGAGAGATGCCTCGGTTTCTGGTGTTGGGCTATTCATGAAAATGTCGAACAACGGAACCCATTGCTCCATTTTTTTTATCTCTTCCTATGTTTTATCGGATGTAAAAGCCAACAGAAAAACGCGGGAAAATAGATAGATTGATCTGGAAGTAATTCCAGCAATCACCATTGGCATACAGTAATTGGGTACATGCAGGCTGGCAGGGCTTTTCTTTTTCCAGGTTGTGTTAATTTGGATTGAGACCCAAAGGCAACGGGCCACATGGGGAAGCCATGAGAAGAGCCTCGAAAGCATAAATGCTAAACTTGTGCTGTATGTTATCGTACAAGCCCCGTTAGTTCATCTTGCTCTTAAAAAAATATTCATTTGATCTTAAAAGCCGTTTATTTAACATTGTTATTGATGTTCAATTCGAAAAAAAACATTGGTATTGATGTTAAAAGATACTTTTTTGATAGACAAAAGCAATGATGAACACTACATATTTGCTGGGAATGCAAGATGCACATACATTTTAAAGACGTAAATGTTCGAATCTAAGTCTTTTAGAGAGGATTATACTCATTCTTACAACTTAGGATACTTACACTATTCAATAGGACATAATTTGATGTCCTAAAGCAGGGCCCCGCATTGTGAACCCGACATTGTTCATCAATTCGATCTTGTGGTTGTTCATCTAAACCTTGTTTGTTCTTATTTTTCATAGTCAGGGTGTTGTAAACCAACAATCTGTGGCTGGCATTGTGGACGAACCCGGCGAACCAGGCCAGGGACCCTGACTGCAATCTATGGAGCAATGACCAGACCCAACTCTGCTATAACTGCAACTCGTGCAAAGCTGGTCTGATAGGGAACCTGAGGACAGAATTGAGGAAAGCCAACATAATTCTCATTATGGCAGTGATGATACTCATGGGTCTATATCATTGCTTGCAGTGGCCCAAACGGAGAATCTCTTCCCCCGCTACAAACACGGTAGGACTTAAAAGAGAAACACCAAAAGAAGTTTGGAATTAGGAGACCTCCATTTCTGATTTTTGTTGGTGTTTACGTAGAGGGTTCGAATAAATGAAATGGAATGTATTGGGAGATGGTATAGAGGAAGACTGAAGCAGACCTTATAATACTATACAGTTGTTTTTACCTGTTTTCCTTTACCATTTTGCATAATGTGTCTGTTGCATATACCAATAACTATGTTTATATCCAGAAAGAGCATTGACAGATAGTGATGAAGGGTGCTTATTTCACTCTGCAATTTATGAAAACAAGAATACAATCTCAAATGATCCACTTTTAGACCTCCTTGGACCTCATACATTCTACGTTTCCCTTCTTAAAATTGCCAAAAGAAAATAGAAGAATTGGAAGAAAATCCTCATAATCTCCAGTCTGGTAGCTTCTTAAGCAGTACTAAGCTTCCTAGAGTACACAATGTACATAGGATCTGAGTGTCCCGGATTAGGCGATAAATGGACAGTCTGCAAAACAGAAGTGAATTTCCCTTTTAATCAAAGGTTCACATTAGTGCCTACCATAAACTTGGGTGCTTTAAATCGGATATATTTGTATGAATGCACATGGATTTACTTCAATGCAGGCTTAGGGAATTTCAATTTGGAAACTTTGGAGCATAATGTAAGTACATGCAACAACATATAATCCCAGTCAACATCAGATGATATCTTATACAACAACATGAAGAGTTCAGAGATTGGCAGCTAATGGTTGTCGAAGAAAACTTCTGGGGTGAAGAGACTATAATGTTGAATAGTATTTTACCTGAGGAGGTTCAAATCCACCAGCATAATGGAAATATGACCCGACGATCAGAGCATGATCGGTGTCGCCAGTGGATGTCCAAATAGAGATTGCTTTTGTCCAAAAGCATCGGTTTGAAAAGCTGTTTCCAATAAGAGTTACATTTATGTTCAACACTTCTAAAAACTGATAATTCTAGAGCAGATTAAAAAGTTGAATAAAGTTTGATCTGAAACTTGAATGCAACCATTGGTTTAGAAGTAGATGAAAAGTTCACCTCATTATAGCCAATCCACCGGGCTTAAGAACCCGATGCATCTCTTGGAAAACATCGAGAGGCTTTGTTAGATAATCAACACTGACCTACAAGATTACATCCTTAAAATGTCATCTTTGAAAACACCGGGATTAGAATGAACGGAATCGCTGATGCAAAAGAAAAGGAGTTATTGAAGAGATGATGACTGATGAGAAAGAAAAACACCCACCACATTGGTAATTACATCGAATGAATTATCTTCAAACGGAAGCTTCGGATTCGAATTTAGGTCTTGCACAACATAGTCTGTTAGAACCTATAAAGGCAATAATTTAAGGTAATATAACAGCTTTTGGATGGCCAGATTTAATCCAACCATTAAAAACACGAGAAGAAATATCGTACTCACAGGATTTCGCTTGAGCTCTTCCTCATTCATCCCCATTCCAACTATCCGTTCTTGCTTGTATCCTTTTGGAAAATGACTGACCTAAACATGAAGCCGACAACGGCGGCGTCATCAGAATGCAATAGAGAGAGGGGGGCTGAGGTCAACATTAAGAATGTCTTACCCAACTACTGCACATATCCAAGATACTCACTCCTGGAGTATTGCTGGGAGGGAAAACCTCTGAATAGTACTTAGTAAGCGCGGCAATGGCTGCATCATCGATATGTGTAACAAAGCGTGGAGCTTCATAGAACAATGAATCTGGTGATCTGAAACATACCAAAAGTTGTATTACATCTATGGAAATCTGATCAGGTCAATATGTTTATCATTGAGGATGAAACTCAGAAATGAGTAGTGCTTGTAAAATTACAGCTAAACGATATCTGCTAGACTGAACCACTCATTGAAGCATTAACTTCTGTAATCAGCATAATACAGGATGATTGAAACGTGAAGCCCTTCGGTCCACGAGAAATAACAGATTCAACGGTTTAATCATAGTACATCGTTTGAAGTTTAAACAGAGTTTTGCCAAACATGTCTCACATTTACAACTTTCTTTCATCTAAAATAGGCAAAAGATACTTCGAAATTTACTTTTCCTATTTCCAACCAGCAATATCATCCAGAAGACGGTTAGTATGTTGCAGCAACAAGGAAGCTCATGTATGAAATAACGAAAGAACGAGCAAGATGCATAACCTCAAGCAGAAATTTAACATAGTGTTCAACTAAACAGCATTATATAGTTTGTATTATTTACTCATCAAAACGCTGGAAATCCTCCTCCTTGAAGGGGAACTGTTCTGGCCATTCCACATTCTGCAATGCCTGCGAAGTAAAGCAAGGGGATTGATATCTCGATAAAAAGAATAACAATTTCAATTTAAATTTTAGTGATGAACTACTGCATTAGGACATTGATGAATTTTATAGGTTCAGTAGTGGCCCAGAAATCTCTAGAAATTAAACTAAAAGCATGCATGTATTAAAAGCAAGAAATCATAATAGAGCCTATTAACCTCTACCTAGCGCATTGATTCATAGATTAGCCACTTTTACGCGTGTATGCAAGCGAGTGAAACGATTCACTACTACCAATTGCATAGCAGGCCATAATTTGGTTTCGAAACTCAGCTCAAAATATTCTCTGGTTTAAGAAAAGGTAAACATCATTGATTTCATTCTTAGTGATCCAATGCAATTGTTTCATATAAAGTATATATCTTTTAACCATATGTGCAGAATATGAAGAACTAAAGGGCTGTAAGATTTCTTACCTACCCACCTAGACAATTTTCATGAAAAAAAAGTGCAAAGCTTTTCTTCAATTATCAGCCAATAATAACCCATCAAGTAATCAAAATTATAACCCAATCAACTTAATCTTTATGATGATTATGCATCAACTAATAAGTTGAGTGTTTTTTTCTTCAATTGTGCTGCAAACCCATTTTCAAAATCTTAGAAATTGCTTTCTAAAATTGAAATAATCCTCAAGCTATATTCCTTCATAACCCACCTTTCATAAAACAGAGTGCTAGGGGGGGAAACCCAGAAACCAAATCAAAGAAGGAAGAATTGTTAAACATTGAAAAATGAACCTGTTCAACACTACTCTTTAGCCTTGCAGAAGCCATGAAAGACTTGCTATTGCCTGCCACGTTCATAAACTGAGTCCAAAATGAAGCCCCTAAGCCTACCACCAATCTACGTGGCAGCCTACTACAATTGTTCCATTTTTTCAGCTTACTCGAAAGACTAGAAACAGACCTAACAGCCCGGGCATGAATGGTAGCAGAACTTAAACATGAATAACTAAAACCAGTCAAAACAGGGAACCTTTGTTGCAGTTGAAGTCCGAGCGCTGCCATCTTTGACTTTATCTCAACTTATATAAAGGTCTGGACTTTTATATGCTGTTACATGGAATATGATACGATTGATTGCACGTGGACCATTGACAACCGTGGGATCAAGGTTGCCAAGTGTAAGTACCCAGACAAGGGTGTGGTTCATATAATTCGGTTGGTCATCTTGTTTTACTGGTTCACATTGGGGTTACGTGGATATCCTTATCGTCATCAGTTGTTTCCAAAAGTCTACGGTTTCATCATTTCATTATCAACGACTGCAGAGCTAATAAATTTAACCTCCAAATTATGAATATCGACACACAATATCCTTAAACATGGAAACTTGATTTCCACCTGAATTTTAAGCTCACATATATAACGGGTAGAATAAGAATGAAAAAGAATGCTACAAAGCTAAGAATTTCTATTTAGTATTTCTTTTACAGAGAAAAATGTCAATATACAATAATACTTTTAAGATGTGCTGATAATGAGGGCCAACCGGATGTGCAATATGCATGGAAATACACACGTGGAGACACGTGCTTTACAACGAAATCTGTGTTTAGGTTGACACGGCTGGCTTTTCGATTGGAGCAGATACAGATTCAAGATTCAGGTCTTCAACTCCCTTTGACGGCCCAATGTTGCAATGCGGTTGTCTATTCGTTTCGATAGCATCCTTTATTTTCTGAAACTACAGATGATAAGGAAATGGTGATGATCACTTTATCCTGAATATTCTGCAAATGATATGCATGAGAAAATTCATCATCTATACATGCAAGTTCAGAAGCCTAAATATGCATGAAGAAGAGTTATTCTAGTATGAATCCCCTTACGGGTTGGTGAAAGATTCCGATGGTGAATCTGTGGTCAAGTAAACGAGGCAATTATAGAACCTGGATTTGGTGCCTCATGCTCTAGTTCAAGGGGAGCTATGTTGGGCTAGGTGGAGAACAACTAACTAATGGAATCAACTTATGTCTTAACAATTACAAATACGACTATGGACTCAGAGGGGATTAAATACACACCTTGGCTAGTGAACATGAAAATGATTCCAGTTGCCCGTGTGCTCCACGGTAGAAGTGAAAATAAGGAAGTACCTTCACATTCAAACTTTTACACATAGGCTTATTTTCATCAAAATTTACTTTTAGGAACATAATTTCAGGGTTTTCTTGGGCTGTCCTGCAGAGCTGCCAGATTCATCAATGTGCAACATCAGGAAAAAAAAACTCACCATAGCTCAGAAGCAAAATCAATTAATTCAAAAGGTTGTGACACCAAATTCTTCAAACACTAATTATTTTGAAGGGCACAGCTATTAGCCTGATTCAAGAAACTGTCATTGGATGCATTCTCCGGTGGATGTGAGCGGTGGAATGGAATAATAAACACCTTTTTTCTGTCGAGCAAGATGGGTTGGTAGTTCAACATAATTTTTCTTATGTAGTTGCTTACACAGAAATGTATAAATATATTTGTCTCAATGAACAAAAGTATCCTGAAAAAAAAAATCTAGAAAGCATCGCACCCGCCCCCATGCCAGTTATTATCAGACTAAACTCTGCTTTTTGTGGATATCTCACAATAACAGGTTATTTGAATTCAATCAAAGGCCTTATGCTGCCTCAGTAAGCCTTTTGAATGCATTTTTTTATTTCTTAAAGATAGACTGCCAATATTTGCCTTGTAAAGGAGGGCCCTCACATTAGAGGAGAAATAAAGAATCATCATATCATATAGTTTACTCAAACAAATGTCAAATTTTATATAAATTGCCAAGACCGAGCAAAACTCGGTATAAACAAAGATAGACTTGGCAGTTTGAAGTTATTGGATCATATATTCTAGTCATTATTTATTTTTCATCGTGATATATTTCTTCAATAGAAGTGTCTTCAAGGTTCTCCAATGCTGAAGTCGTATATTAATGAGGAGTGTAATTTCACCAACAAAAAAAGTTGATTTTGATCTTTGGAGTATTACAAGACATGAAATAGTGGTCAAGAAAGGTATGAATTACCTTGGGAAATAGAGCTCTGCAAGAAGCACACCAAGTTCCATAAAATTCAACTATAACTAATCTATATCACTTAAGGCACTCAAAAAATCTTGAGTGAATGTCAATCATATTTGGTCCTGCATTCTTTTCCCACCATTTCGGCTGGTTCATTTCAGTGATAGCCGCATGAACCAGCAATAAGAACTTGGTTACTGGTTCTCTATCTCATGTACAGGAAATCAATCAATAGTTTCTCCAAATAGTATTGAGAAATACAGAAAAGAAAACATTTCACATGTAATTAACAGTAAGACTGACAATACAGGGGAGAAGTTGATGCTATCAGCCCTGAATGAGAAGAATGAGCCATAATAGCAGGAGAAGATTTCATACTTAATAGCTTTAATACGTTTCAATCTCATGCAATTCTTAATAACAATAAATAAGAGAGAAAGTTATCAGCCATAACTGATAAGAGGTCCCATGTGAAGCTGCCTGACGAAATTGCAAGGTCGGATAGACTCGGAGAATTTAGCACAGAACTTTGGAATAAGAGGTGCGCACCGTATAGTCAATAATTCAACATGCTTAAATCCCATAATGGTAGATACTGAATACCGATTCCCACTACCAAGTTAATGTGCCAGAAAATATCACCATCCAATATTATGTTATGGTAAAATGGAACTGCCAGACAATACATAGATTGCATAGGGATGATGAAATGAATTTATTAGCTTCCCAACTAAATGATCCACAAAAACCTGGTGTATAAGCATCAGTAAACTGATAGATCCTAAGGCATGTAAAAAGGTGCAGACAGTAAAACTGGTAAGCCAAGACGAGGGAGTCCAAAAAATTGTCAGAATCCGTGATATCTGAATCCGATTCATCCGTAGAATATTCGATCGATCCGTGATATCGGAATTCGTTTCATCCGAAGCATATGTACTAATGGTCATGCACCCATCACCTCGAAATATGAAATTATTACAATGTTTCTACAGGTTTCAAATTGTGCATCCGAACAACACTCCCGATTTCCCTTCCATTTTCCACGAGTTAGTTATTTAGGTTGGCTTGCATCAAAAGGAACTAATGGCAAAGCAAAGAACTCGACACTGTTGTTAGTTGCATTTTCGTTGGTAATTTTGTTGGTTTAGGCGGTCTTCAGAATTACAAAAAGATATGAACTCTACTTCCTTCTACGTCAGTAGAAGCTAATTTCCAAGCTGACAAAGGCATGATTAAAAAATATCACTTGAAACAGTACCTTTTTTCAAGGGATGATTCTGGGAAGATACAAGTTTTGTGAGGCCAGATTTCATTGCACAATTCATTGATATTGTTCGAGACTATGATTCGGACAAGCAAATCGAAAAATTGAAAATATTGTCAAAATTTGTTTCTATGAATCTCAGAAAACAATAAATCAATATGTCATTACGAATGGCCATGACCAATTACGCTAAGAGCTTCATTCATCACAGAAATGACAGATCAATTATGCAGGATAAAGGATATATAAACCTATTGCATTTGAGAAGAATCAAAGATTACTAGATTTGTCTTTTGAAAAATCTTAGGAAACCACTTTCATGTCAAATAACATGTACTCCTAGCTTGTATGAATTCCAAAAGATCCTACAATCTGATGTTCCCCCCCCCCCCGATAAGAATAAAGCAAATCACGAAAACCTTATCCATACTGGAGGACAAACAGCTTTGAATAAAAGAGAAGCGATGACAATCCGTTTGCTATAAGAATCTTAGATAAAAAGTATCCCATGCAACCGAGATGTAAGATGCAGTTTTCTATCCAGGTAAGGCAGCATGTATTGAAACAACTAGCTTATCAATAACATGTTTTCAAATTATTTATGAATTCCAACTTCTAAGTTGCAAGGTATGTGCTAGACAAAGACACCAAATCGGATGAGCAACGTAGGCCTTGTCTAAGGAGGGAGCAGAAGCAGAAAGTGCAATGCCAGAATATTTTGCTTTTTTTACAAGGTAAACTTCTAAAACATCATAAGAGCATTGCACAGAATAGTAATATGAAAAGTGAAATTTATTGACGACGTAGAAGTAGAAATTCATTCCTTACAAATTACAAACATCTGCAACTCAAAAATATCAACTGGTCCAGATATCACTAATATCCTTCTGCACAGTCTCAACATATATGTATTCCCAATTGTCTGCATGAGTGAGCAGATAGTCATTTGGCTAAGATCGCTCTGAACATTCTTAGGAGATAAATTTACTGACTAGGCAGTAGAACAGACTCAGGAAATGCTGAAGAACCATTATTGGGAGCACCCTCTAGCTTAAGAATTGAAGTTACCAAGTTATAAATCTGAACATTCTCAAAAGACGGCACCTTCTTTCCCCTTGCAAATTGAGGACCATGACCAATAAAAATAGTCCGCATGGAGAAAAATGCATTGTCGTATCCGTGAGCTCCTCCACACTCTTGTCGCTTAGTCCTTTTCTGCTCCACCTTAAAACTCTCCTCAATCAACCCTATTATGGAAGGAATTCGCTCACTTGCCGCATAATGCAGTCGACTTGGCAGTTCCTCCTTAAGATAAACCTTCAAATACTTTCCATTCTCAACTTTCCCAGATTCCAATCCTTCATTCATCTTTGCAACAACATCCGAAGGTGCATGACCAGGAGGTGGATGAATCGCAAGCATCGGAGTATAATACTGAACCCAATCCGCAGGGATTTTGATCCAAGGGGCCAAATCATCAAGAAAAATCAGCTTTTTATCACATGTACCAACCATCCCATGGTCTCCAACCATAATTATAGTAGCATCCTCAAAAACCCCTCTCTTTTCTAAACCATCAATCAGCCTCCCAATCAAACTATCAATTCTAGAAACAGCCTCGGTGATCTGAGGATCATCAGGTCCGACATCGTGACCCTGATGATCAGGATCCTCAAAATACAATGTCATAAACACAGGAATCTCACTGCTTGGCAAATCAAAGTAGCTTAATACAGTATCAACTCTATCCTCAAAGGGAACAGATCCATTATAGAACATACAAAACTTTTTAGGACAATCCCAAGAACCCTTTTTTACCTCACTTCCAGGCCAAAAATAGGTAGCAGCCTTTAACCCATGATTGACCACAGTCTCCCAAAGTGGCTCACCTAGCCACCACTTTGGTTCATGACTGGACATAGTGAACACCTCACCAGTGTTAGGATCCACGAAACGGTTGTTTATAACCCCATGATAAGCAGGATAGAGGCCAGTAACAATAGAGTAATGATTAGGAAAAGTAAGAGTAGGGAAAACAGGAATCAAACCCAACTCAGCCTCGGTCCCGTTAGCAATCAACCGGTGGATGTTTGGTAATGAGGTCTTGAATTGGTACCCAAACCGAAACCCATCAGAGGAAATCAAAATAACCACCGGCTTTTCCAGTTTCTTTAGAGGACGAGAAACGTTGTGAGCTGTAGCTGAAAAAGAAGATGACGAAGACGAGTAAAAGAGGAAAGCAAACGCAAAGGCAGCTGAAATAGCAATGCAAGTGAAGAGTATCAAAGCAATGAAGATAATGGTGGTTCTGGGCTTTGAAGGAGATGTTTTTGCCGGAGGATCGAAAGGAGAATCAGTGTTGAAAGAAAGGAGAGATCTGGAATGGCTCGAAGGATCCTCTTCTTGGGTTGGAATCGGGATCGGCTTTGTTTGACTCAATGAATCAGTACCCATAATTCCTTTCTTCTCACTTCTCCACGGTTTCTATGAAAAATCAAGTCTTCTGTGACAAAGAAAGCGAGATCAAGAACACTTGATGGCTTTGGTGTATTTTAAGTCCAACCAACACAACTTTCATTGTTGGGTCGGGTGTCGGTCATTTGTAAAGTTTAACAGACTGACATTGAGAACGTTGTCGTTTTTAATGTCGAAATTCCAAATCCTAGTAGCTCCTGTAGGAGAAAGGAAAGATCTTTACTTTTTATAAAGGAAAAAACCAGGTAGAAGAAACTAAACTAGAGTAAAAGACTAGAGTTGAAGTTGAAGTTGAAGTTGAAGTTGAAGTTGAAGTTGCAGAGAGCAGCTCTTCAAAAAGACGTGTTTTTATAAGAATCAAAACTTAGTGGAGCAATGGCGTACCCAAGCATGGGAGAAGCCCATAGGAGAATCACAGAATACTTAAACAAGTTCTCCAACGCTGTTTCATACCAAGATGTAGCTTCCCTTTCTCAGCTCTTTTCCTTCTCCTCCAACTCTCCATCTCTCCTTTCCCTTGCTGATTCCCTCAACATTTTCCAGGTTTTTTTTATTGTCTATCTATTGTTTTAAGGAATCAAAAGTTGTCAAATATTGATTTTTCTTCTTCTTTGTTTTAGGATGCTAATAGATTGATAAAGCAATCGGATAAGTTTTCCCAATACGGTGAGATTTTGGCCCCTCTTTTCCGTTCTTTGCAGAGCTATAGAGTTGGGAACTTGGTTGATGCCTATCATGCCTTCGAAAAATTTGCAAAGTAATCAAATTTTTTTAGGGTTTCAAGTTTTTTTTTTGCTTCTCAGCCCTTTTTTAATAATTAATTAGAGATGTTTATGCAATGTGGTAACTGTGGGAATCTCGCATTGGCAGTGCTTTCATTCAGGAGTTTCGGAATTGGGAATCAGCATGGGCATTGGAAGCATTATATGTTATTGCTTATGAAATTTGGGTTCTTGTAGAGAGGGTATGTTGATGGGAAAACCTTGTAGTTTTTATTTTTCAAAGGAAGGTTTGATTTTGATGTTGGTTTAATTTGGGAATATTGTAATTGTAGGCTGATAGAGAGTTGGCTTTCAATGGTAAGTCCCCGGAGAAATTGAAGGGAGCTGGATCATTCCTTATGAAAGTATTTGGTGTTCTGGCTGTAAGTTTCTTCATCTTCTAGAAATACCCGTTATCATTCTGTTAGCAAGTCGTTTAGACTTCATTTGCTGAAATAATCATCATTGTTGCTAATCATTTGTTATGAACTTATGACACATGGATACCAGGGAAAAGGCCCGAAACGTGTTGGAGCATTATATGTGACTTGCCAACTGTTTAAAATCTACTTCAAGGTGATACTTATGTTTCTTCTGTCTTTGCTTTTTGCTTTGTAAAATCTTTTCGTTTGCTGTTCTATATTTATCATGAATCTAGTTTTGGAAAATGGATTGTATGCTTAGAACCAAACATTTTGGAGGTTAAGATGCATTTAAGATCTTTATCAGCCCTCATATTGTGTTTTATTGTGCAGCTTGGTACAGTGCACCTCTGCCGGAGTGTAATAAGAAGTATTGAAACTGCTCGTATTTTTTATTTTGAGGAATTCCCTAGAAGAGACAAGGTAGTGTTTTTTCCCTTCCCCTGGAATTTTCCATGTATACAAACCTTTTAGTGAATGTTATCTCCTTTCTCAGGTCACCTATATGTATTATACTGGGCGTTTGGAAGTTTTCAATGAAAATTTTCCTGCTGTAAGTAGTCTAAATCCAATGGAGAAAACTTTACTTCTTTCTTTCCTTGATATAAAATTCATTTGTGATTGTGTTTCTTGTGTTTGCCTAGCACGATTAATCATTTTGAGTTTGGGACCCAGTTTATAACTAGCATCCGAGCTTCTCAACACTACTTTTTTCTGGTTTCACATTGTCAAAGCATTAGATTTAAAAGGTCAATATAACTGGGACTAGGTGCTCTTTCTAAATACTATTGTGATTTGGCAGGCTGACCATAAATTATCCTATGCATTGACACATTGCAACCCTCTCAGAGAAGCAAACATAAGGTTCGTTTATGTGTGCTTTTTTTACATATATCTTGCATCTGCACGTATGGAAGCCATAATAACTGATATAATCAAAATTGTCTCTGCATTGATCATTTTGTCATCCAATATGGCATTTCATAACTTGGTTAAAATTCCCTTGAATGTATGCTTCAAATTTATTTCATTTCAACTGGTATTTCTAGTCTATCTTTGATGGGAAGTATGAAAACTAATCCAATGTTATACATTGATAGCAAGTTAAATTCAGTTTTTAGCATGTCTTGCTTCTAATTCTTATTTGGTTTGATTTTTGTAGGATGATATTAAAATACTTGATACCGGTGAAGCTTTCATTAGGCATCTTACCGAGACCTTCCCTTCTAGAGAAGCATAACCTCCTTGAGGTATAGTTTCCCGTTATTATATTTCTTATTTTCTCTCTATGTGGTTGTTATGTAGAACAGATGCTTTGTGCTCATGCTTTTTACCAAGTTATATATTTACGGTGTGATTTCATATTAAAAAGGAACGAAGGAAATCAAATGAATGAAAGGGGAAATTGCACACATTTTCTAAAATATTTTACTATTGGTCCAACATATCAAATTAGTAATTAGTAATGTTGTTATTCTCAATACAACAATGTTGTACAAGCTCTAAAAAGGGGTGATCTCCGACTTCTTCGACATGCTCTCCAAGAACATGAAGACCAGTAAGTTTATCTTCATGATTTTTGTTGATATTGAAATTAACTTGTCGAGACTGTCTCTCTTCCCTTCTATAAAGGTTTCTGCGATCTGGTGTGTATCTTGTCCTGGAGAAGCTTGAGCTCCAAGTTTACCAAAGATTGGTTAAGAAAATGTAAGAGCTTTAGACCAAATGATCCTCCATGATATTTTATTGAATCTTTTCAGCTCATAATATTGACTGTAACATTCTAAACTTGTAGTTACTTCATTCAAAAGCTAAAGGACCCAAGCAAAGCTCACCAGTTGAAGTTGGAAGTAATTGTCAAGGCATTGAAATGGCTCGAGATAGACATGGATCTGGACGAGGTACGTATTTTCCGGTTACAGTCTTCCCTGCTGTTTGCGTTTGGTAATGGAAATTTACAATTCTTTTTTTTTTTTGGTTCCATTTTTGCAGGCCGAGTGTATAATGACCATTCTTATATACAAAAATCTTGTGAAAGGGTACTTTGCTCACAAGAGCAAAGTAGTTGTTTTAAGCAAGCAATACCCTTTCCCCAAATAAAATGGAAAGCCTGTAAACTCATAAACATAACTCTCTGAAATGGTCATATGAAAGTTGTTCTTATTTTCATGTTTATCTGTTCCAATTTTTCTTTCAATTACTAAAATTTGGCAATTTTTTTACATAAACAGTGGTGTTTTCATCCATATGAATGGTTTAGGTTCAATGGATATTATACTCAAGTGATATTTCAACCTAAATATGTCTAAAGATAGTAAATTTATGCATGAATGTGACCAAAGTAATTAACAAGGATGAAAATGAATAAAAATTTAATAATTACAAATTTACATTTCTTGTCTTGGTACTTCGAGTACCTTTGGTTTATTGATGGGAAATGTAGAGCTCCTGATTTGAATCATTAGAACCAGAACACGGCTGCCATAGCCTGGGTCCACGGTGTAAAAAATATTACAATTACATCAGTGACTAGAACATCAAACATGCCCCTTTACATTTGTAGTATTGGAAGAGGGTCAAGTCTACAAAAAGGAAAAGAGATGAACAAATGTAATTGCAACAAAATACAAGATCCAAATGATTCAGCTGTGGGTAATGATATAGATTTCTCAGCAGCTGACTTTATCTGCTAGTTCATAAAGCAGGCAATACATATCAGCTTCATGTATATTTCATGTTTATTGTGTATAGACTTACAATTGAATCATATTTTGAGGCAAAGTTTGTAAAGAAAGGTGATTCTGGTATCAGTATGAAATGGTAGATCGATAAATATATATAATTTGAATATACCTGTATGTCCTTTTTCCTGTTAGGAAAACCAACGTTGCAAAGCCGGCCATGATTACAACTTTAACCACCTAAGGTAAAGCAAAGATAAAATTAGGAGTGACATTTTACAGAAAGAAGCTCATTCACAGATTGTTTTTATCTACTGTATTACAGGAGCCAACAACAATGGAGCAATGAAAACATTGGTCATTTGATCATATAGGAGTCCCATCTAATCATATAGGCTATATCATACAATCTTCAGCAATCACCAAGAAAAATTCATATGAAAGTCAGGGGGGAAATAAGGAGGTTTTGCATTATGATAACCTACAACCTTCATAAGAAGATCTATTATCCTCATTGCAAGGGAAAATATATCCTTGTTATTTCAATAGAAAAACAAAAAAAATATAACCTGTCCAAAAGGTCCAATGGATTCTTTAGGTTCCGTGGAAATCTCAACCCTTGGTCTTATCTTTTCTGAAGAAGTCTTCCCATCTTCATTTGCCACGACAGAAGTGCCGACATCAACATTGTTAACCTGAAAATAACAAGCAAATAACACATTGTGGTAATGATATCAGAATCAACTGGCAAAAGATTGACTAACATACGGTTTATAAGCTGGCTGCTGTTTTACCAAACCAAGAACTTGATACATATATACCCCGAAGAGCTTGACACAGTGAACAAAATTGGTTCCTTATGTCCTTTATTCCATCAAGATGAGTATTATTATCTATTTATCTTGTATTCTAGAGAAGGATTACTCAACCCTTCATAGTTATATTTCAAAAACATGGACTCAAGCACAGTAAAATATCTATGAAGCCTTGCAGTTAATCAGATAGAACAATATTGCAGTCCAACATGATAAATGAAAGAGAATTATCAGTGAAACCTTCTATATGGGATATCTTACAAACCTCTCCTATGTTTTTTGGATCACAAGCACTAAACTTTATTTGATGGTTATTGGCTTCATCCCAGAAACCTCCCATTAGATCCATTATTTGTTTGCTCCCGGTTGTTATGCATGAGCATTTAGCTTCACCTGGAAATATCCAGAGACCAGAGCTACCAATAGAACAATGGTCGTCACTCTGAATAGCCACTGAATTTAGTTTTCCATTTGAATTTCCTTCAGCTACTTGTGGATCCTTTTGCAAAATTTCTTCTCCACCCTCCTTTGTTATTGATTTTCTGCTAGAACGCTGCCTTGCAGTAGAAAGGTTCCATAATTGGTTACTTTTTGAATACTTGTCAAGCATTCTTTGAGAAAATGAAGCTTTTTCTATCGTTGATGCTCTCTTGAAATCTTTGGAATGTTTCTTGTCTTCCTTCACCACACTTTCACTTTCTTTAACTTTAAATCTACCCTTCAGATCTGAAAATTTTCTTTCTGTTTGAATACATGCAGCAGTTGACTCCTTCAAATCCTCAGTTCCTTTAGATGATGAATTTTCTAGAAAAGAATCGGCTCCCATCTTTCTATTCGGATATAGTTTCGGCGGTGGTTTAATAGAAGGTCTGGCATCCTGTCACAGATCGAGTTGCAGTAATCTTAATCATGCGCCTACGTTGAAATAACAAATGGAGAATTTTAAGCAGCAGGCTCAACGTACCTGATTTAGACTACCCTCAAATGCACTTATCATGTTCTTTACATTGCTAAGCGCTTTCCCTGCTGGTCCCGGCTTCTTCGAATTATTAGGCTTCTCTGCATCTGATGGAATGGAGTCCTTGTTACGTTTCTCTAGTTTTGGTGGAACTGAATCCTGATGGAACATGAAATGAACATTAAAAAAACTCGAGGGTTTTTCTATTAAGATCGAAAGATTGTTACTGTGAAGCAATCCTTAACTGTGCTATTTTGCTTCAGAACTGAACTGTTTCTGTTACCGATATCAAATTTAGCATCCTTTGGGCTATTTAAGGGAACAGACACTTGACTGGCTTCATTGGTTAGCAATTCACTTCGGAGTAAACTTTCTTGTGAACCTTGAGAAGAGGCAGCACTCAATACATCAAGGTTAAGCCATTTTAGATTTGTCTATGCGGTACAAATGTGAGTAAGCAAGATCGAACCTGAAACTTTACTATAACTAACAGAAGCACTATTGGGACTTCCATGACCACTATTGCGAAGCTCTTCATGTTTCTTCTTTAGTGCAGATTCTCTCTGAAAATGAACTTAAAAATATAACTTACTAGTTATATGGGAAGGAACAAGGTTATCAGGATACCATAGGCATGCAGTTTATCATACAGCCTAATGCAGTTCATCATTTAGGATAGAATGTGCACCCACCATTACTGGCTGATAGTCTAAATTAATCTATTGAATATTCTCAGATGCGCACATGAAAAGAAGATGGTTGGATCACTCATTAGAATTGATTTCTGGGATCCTTCATTGCATCAAAAGGATAACGAAGGGTAAAATACCATTATCCGAATTCTCTGGCGCTCTTCTTCACTGAGGACAAACTGCAACCTCATATGAACATGCCCTCCTCCTTCAAAGGAAAATATGTCATCCCAAACACCTTTCTCAACCACCAATCTGGTTTCAACTCCTGCCCCATACCTTATTTTCTTCAGTGAAATCGAATTAGTCCAAAAGCTTATGGAAAACAAATAGGGACAAACCTGTATGAGAAATCTCCTTTCCCTCTGCATCTTGAATTGTTATAATAAAATTGTCACGAAGGGTTGTCAACGGACTGTGCAATAGCAAAAGTCAGGAGCTAAAAACATATCAAAATCAAAGGAAAAATTGCAGATGTCATAACAGAGTTCAGAGTCATCACAATGAGAATTCCCCTTTGTGCCAAGTCCGGTACTCTATTTTTCCCTTGGAAACTGCATCATGAAGATTGAACTTGGTAAAATCTTATTCTCATTCACTGTATATATTTCCATTCAAGAAAATTCGGACGAAAAAAGTGTTGGCTGGATACCTTTTATTGATACTCTTGAAGAAGACGATGAATTGAGACCCTCGAAATCCAGAACTGAAATGAATTCAATGAAAGTGTTGAAAAAGCAGTATGATCATTAACTGTTATATTGGGATTACAGTCAAGACAGAACTTGGTACCTGAAACTTGGATGGTTCCTGGCATTTGAGAGAAAACTAGAGATGACGATAAATCATAAAAGTTCAACCAGTGATTAAAACTAGTACTATCATGTCAAAAGTGTTGGCTGGATACCTTTTATTGATACTCTTGAAGAAGACGATGAATTGAGACCCTCGAATCCAGAACTGAAATGAATTCAATGAAAGTGTTGAAAAGCAGTATGATCATTAACTGTTATATGGGATTACAGTCAAGACAGACTTGGTACCTGAAACTTGGATGGTTCCTGGCATTTGAGAGAAAACTAGAGATGACGATAAATCATAAAAGTTCAACCAGTGATTAAAACTAGTACTATCATGTCAAATTTGTTAACTTGAAAGGATGGCTTCAAAGAGAAACATGATTTCTATGCATCTAACATAAATAAACTCGATTTTTTTCGAAAAATTGTACTTCTATATGTATATCTGAATATATATGACAGATATTTGGAAAAGAAATGGGAAGTAAGATGGCCATGGGAGAGTTTAGAAGCAGTAGAGGATGAAAAACAAACACATATGTGGCTGGACTTGAAGGAAAGGTTAACATAAAGGACCCCACAACTTCAGAAGATTTATCTCGAATATTTTGCTTGCTGGCCCTTATTTACTCCAAAGTAGGCATCCCCTGTAACATCCCAAACTAGGGGTTAGTGACTAAATTGTAAAGTTTAAGAATTTGATGAATTAAGTAGAAGAATGGAATAATTCAATGATTTATTTGGAAATAATTCCTAAAAGTTGTTAGTAATTATTAAAGTAGATGAAGGGCAAAATGGTCATTGTACAAAGATAATATTAAATATTAATAAATGTGTATTATAATACATGAGATGTATGATTGAAGAGATAAGTTTTAGACTTATCTTCTTCATCTTCATCTTCTCTCAAACGTGAAGAGCCAAGCTTGCAAATGTGAGTTTCTTTGTTAGTTGGTTATTTGCTAAATTTATGGTTGGGTTTTGATCATTAGATAATAACTAAGCTTAAGGAAAGCTTAAGTTATCTTAAGATTGAAAGATAAAGAAGTTATGAAAGATTAAAGAAAATGAGTTTTTAAAGGAAATTCTGGAAAAGAGTTAATAAGAGATTTTTAAGATGGAATTTGACTTTTCATCAATAAGAATAAGAGATTTATGAAGTTAGAAAATATTTATAACAAATTTGAAAGTTTAGTAAGATTCTTAATTTTAAGAATCTTGATGAAATATGGAAGATAATATGATTTATATGGACATAAGTTGGTTTCAATAATGATAGTTGAGTTTAAAGACATGATAGGGGATTAAAATAGAAGAATTGAATGAAGAATTGATGAATTTCGGGTTTGAAATACAATTTCTGGACAAGGTGCATCGATGCACATTCATAAGTGCATCGATACATTCCTTTAAAAGAAGAACATCGAATGCAATCAATGCATCGATGCATAAGGAGTGCATCGATGCATCTCATTAATAAGGAAACATCGAATGCATTTTATGCACCGATGCACAAGTAGTGCATCGATGCATATCTTCATTGAAAGAGAAAATTGGCTTTTCTCTTAGCCTAAGAAGTGACATTTTAGAATATATCAATTGGAATATTGATATGAATCTGTGTATTGTTATGTAGAGATAGAACGTGATCCGTTTCGGGACAATTGAGGAATTAGAATCGAATCAAAGCAAAGCTAAGGTGAGTGCAATTTATTTTGTACTTATTTTATTGAATTAACATTGGCTTGCGATGAGCCAGTGATGGAGTTACTATGGTAAGAAGTAACTTCTAAATTGTTATGTGATTACCATGTATGCATTAATACATAGAAATAGATGGATGCTATGTTATATGATTTATATGCTTAAGTGAAAATGCAACATATGTTATATGACATGACATGCATGGTTACATGAAAGAAAGCTATGTGACTACATGTATATGTGAAAGAAGCTATAAGCTTATATGCACATGTGATATATGTGATATGAATTACATGAAATGATTTACGTGAATACATGTATATATAATACATGTGATATGATATGAGATATATGGTTACACATACATGTGGTATGTGACAGAAGAGAAAGAACAAGTGATACGAAATGTATAAATAAATGCCCATAGTATATGATACGAGAGCTATAGGTATAGTTGGCATGCCAAGAGTCGAGGTTTTACCTATGTTGCAAGGAACATATGGATAGTTGCCGAGGATCTTTATGACCTCTGGATAGTTACTGGGGTTCTTTGTAACCTCTGGACAGGTCCTTCGGGACGAATACTGAACGAATGTTCGGTGCCCCATGAGGGAATTTATACGAGCTGTGGTGACAGCATTAGTGCACAACCTCAATGTACTCACATACCTATATTCTCAATAATATACATGGGCAATGAAATTGAAAGACAAATAAAAGTGAAAGTGATACAAGAAGGTAAGTTGCATGTGTGCATGACCTGATTGTATATTGTTACCATACAATAGATTCATGCATATTGATATGTCATGATTCAATGATATGAATGCACATACATGAATTATATGATGTTAAGTGTGTTTCTGGGTATAGTGATATATGTGTTATATGATGAGTATATGGTAAGTGGAAAGGATTATTGATAGTGTTTGCATATGTATGTCTTTTATTTATATGAAATGATATATGGTTATATTATATGTTATATGCCTCACTAAGTCTATGACTTAGCGTATAAGTGATTTACACGTAGGTACCAAGAAATGAGAAGTGAAAGAATAGAAGTGGCAAAGACAGTATCACTACTAAAAGATCAGATCATAAGTATTTGACAAAGTATGTATTTGGTTATGTATAAAGTGTTGGCATGTAAGAAGTCATTAAGTACGAGCACTCTGATAAAGTCTGTATTTTGTTTTAAATAAAGTTTTAAATTTCCCGGGATTTTTCTTAAGAGTCAAGGTTTGAAAAGTCAATGTGACACGTCGGACTCGTATCCGGGTCGGATACGGGTTGGGGTGTTATATTTAATGGTATCAGAGCTACGGTTTAGCCGATTCTAGGCTAAAAACGAAGTCAAAAGTGTTTTAAAAAGTATACATGCCAACGAAATAGTGAAAACTTCTGATTTGATAGAAAGTAAGTATACTGTTTTGCTAATAGAATGATATGATTGTATTTTATTAGATGTATGAACAAGACAACTCCCGAGACGTAGCGGGAAATGATAGATTAGCTGAAGGTAGTAATTCACCTGCCCTGGCCAGGCAAGGTGAAGGACAAACACTTTCTGGAGTGCCTGTGCAAGACCAAGACGTTTTCTTTAGAACGTTAGACGCGGTGTTGATGCGTTTCCAATCTTCTGCTCCTTCCACTCCGATAAGGAATATAGCAAAAGATTTAAAAGGATTAGGAGCTCCTGAATTCAAAGGTGAAGTTGAGGAGAGTTCTGTTGAAGCGGACTTTTGGCTCAATGACGTAAAGATTATGCTAGATGGACTTCATTGTTCTGATATGGAAAAGTTAGACGGAGTAGTCTCCTTGCTTCGTGGACAAGCGAGAATATGGTGGACGAACGTTACTCTGAGAATGACAGTGACCAAGTGACCTGGTTCTTGTTTTTAGAAGAGTTCACAAATATAGGAGACCAGTTCATCAAGAAAATGAAACAAGAATTCTTGAATCTGAAGCAATTGGATCACACTATATATGAATATGAGTGTGAATTCAATAAGTTGAGTCGTTTTGCGACTGAGTTAGTTCCAACAGAAAAAGATGCATGCGAATGGTTTGTGGAGGGCTTACGCCGAGATTAAAGGAGATGTTGATTGTGTTAAATCTGTCCTCGTTTCAAGAGGTAGTGAATCGTGCAAAGCTCTTGAAAGAGCTCAGAATGAACGTTATGGGGATCAAAGAGTTCAATCTTTTAAAAGAACGGGGCCTTCATCGAGTTTAGTATCACCCAAAGAAGTAGAGATTCTGGTTTTCGATCTCAAGCACGGTCAGAGTCGATGACATCCTCCGCTAGAGGATCAAGTCAGATGAGAGATAGACAGACTCAATTTGTAGAGTCTGGTGATGGAAGAGCACAATTGAGACATTGTCAGAATTGTGGAAGATATCATGGTGGGATGTGTAGAATTAAGTCTGGAGCTTGTTTCCGATGTGGGGAAATAGGAAATTTCATGAGAGATTGTCCATTGAAGGACAGAGAGCTTGCACAATCAGAACGATCTGTTTTGATGTCTCAAGAGGGGGGTAGAGGTAGAGAAAGAAATCAACAGAATCTTCTACTCAACAGGAGATGCGCTCCACTAGAATATATAATCTTAATGATAATGAAGACTGTGAGGACCCAGAATTATTAGTATGTATCTTTCGGTTGAATAGTAAATGCGTTATGATATTGGTTGATTTAGGCTAGCATAATTACATTTGAACAGTAAATTGATGAGAGAAGTACTAATTTTAGTTATAAGTTAATTGTAGTAGTTTTATTGATATAAACCCATTAAGGTATAGTGTTCAGGTAAATAAGATTTGTGGTTACTTGAGTGGATTAAATAGCGTATGAGAACATGAGAAAATATGGCTTAGTTATGCTATAAGGAAATCTTGATAATGAGGAATAAATAGAGAAAGAAATGAATGATAGAGTTTAAAGAATCAAGTAAGATAAGTGTTATAAGTTGTGTTAGATTGTTATAGCATGAGTGAAAGAGATATGTTGAGTAATAAAAGGGACTGTATATAAGGATTGCTTCATGTTGTTATATAGTGAAAATTCGAGGACGAATTTTCTTAAGGAGGGAGAATTGTAACATCCCAAACTAGGGTTAATGACTAAATTGTAAAGTTTAAGAATTTGATGAATTAAGTAGAAGATGGAATAATTCAATGATTTATTTGGAAATAATTCCTAAAAGTTGTTAGTAATTATTAAAGTAGATGAAGGGCAAAATGGTCATTGTACAAAGATAATATTAAATATTAATAAATGGTATTATAATACATGAGATGTATGATTGAAGAGATAAGTTTTTAGACTTATCTTCTTCATCATCTTCTCTCAAACGTGAAGAGCCAAGCTTGCAAAGGTGAGTTTCTTTGTTAGTTGGTTATTTGCTAAATTTATGGTTGGGTTTTGATCATTAGATAATAACTAAGCTTAAGGAAAGCTTAAGTTATCTTAAGATTGAAAGATAAAGAAGTTATGAAAGATTAAAGAAAATGAGTTTTTAAAGGAAATTCTGGAAAAGAGTTAATAAGAGATTTTTAAGATGGAATTTGACTTGTCATCAATAAGAATAAGAGATTTATGAAGTTAGAAAAGATTTATAACAAATTTGAAAGTTTAGTAAGATTCTTAATTTTAAGAATCTTGATGAAATATGGAAGATAAATATGATTTATATGGACATAAGTTGGTTTCAATAATGATAGTTGAGTTTAAAGACATGATAGGGGATTAAAATAGAAGAATTGAATGAAGAATTGATGAATTTCGGGCTTGAAATACAATTTCTGGACAAGGTGCATCGATGCACATTCATAAGTGCATCGATGCATTCCTTTAAAAGAAGAACATCGAATGCAATCAATGCATCGATGCATAAGGAGTGCATCGATGCATCTCATTAATAAGGAAACATCGAATGCATTTTATGCACCGATGCACAAGTAGTGCATCGATGCATATCTTCATTGAAAGAGGAAATTGGCTTTTCTCTTAGCCTAAGAAGTGACATTTTAGAATATATCAATTGGAATATTGATATGAATCTGTGTATTGTTATGTAGAGATAGAACGTGATCCGTTTCGGGACAATTGAGGAATTAGAATCGAATCAAAGCAAAGCTAAGGTGAGTGCAATTTATTTTGTACTTATTTTATTGAATTAACATTGGCTTGCGATGAGCCAGTGATGGAGTTACTATGGTAAGAAGTAACTTCTAAATTGTTATGTGATTACCATGTATGCATTAATACATAGAAATAGATGGATGCTATGTTATATGATTTATATGCTTAAGTGAAAATGCAACATATGTTATTTGACATGACATGCATGGTTACATGAAAGAAAGCTATGTGACTACATGTATATGTGAAAGAAGCTATAAGCTTATATGCACATGTGATATATGTGATATGAATTACATGAAATGATTTACGTGAATACATGTATATATAATAATGTGATATGATATGAGATATATGGTTACATACATGTGGTATGTGACAGAAGAGAAAGAACAAGTGATACGAAATGTATAAATAAATGCCCATAGTATATGATACGAGAGCTATAGGTATAGTTGGCATGCCAAGAGTCGAGGGTTTACCTATGTTGAAAGGAACATATGGATAGTTGCCGAGGATCTTTATGACCTCTGGATAGTTACCGGAGTTCTTTGTAACCTCTGGACAGGTCCTTCGGAACGAATACTGAACGAATGTTCGGTGCCCCATGGGGGAATTTATACGAGCTGTGGTGACATCATTAGTGCACAACCTCAATGTACTCACATACCTCTATTCTCAATAATATACATGGGCAATGAAATTGAAAGACAAATGAAAGTGAAAGTGATATAAGAAGGTAAGTTGCATGTGTGCATGACCTGATTGTATATTGTTATCATACAATAGATTCATGCATATTGATATGTCACGATTCAATGATATGAATGCACATACATGAATTATATGATGTGTGTTTTCTGGGTATAGTGATATATGTGTTATATGATGAGTATATGGTAAGTGGAAAGGATTATTGATAGTGTTTGCATATGTATGTCTTTTATTTATATGAAATGATATATGGTTATATTATATGTTATATGCCTCACTAAGTCTATGACTTAGCGTGTAAGTGATTTACACGTAGGTACCAAGAAACGAGAAGTGAAAGAATAGAAGTGGCAAAGACAGTATCACTACTAAAAGATCAGATCAGAAGTATTTGACAAAGTATGTATTTGGTTATGTATAAAGTGTTGGCATGTAATAAGTCATTAAGTACGAGCACTCTGATAAAGTCTGTATTTTGTTTTAAATAAAGTTTTAAATTTCCCGGAATTTTTCTTAAGAGTCAAGGTTTGAAAAGTCAAGGTTTGAAAAGTTAATGTGACACGTCGGACTTGTACCCGGGTCGGATACGGGTTGGGGGTGTTACATCCCTCTATCAAGGCAACTTCTCACAAAGCAGAAATAAGTAACTATATCTTGCAAAAAAAGGACTACTAATTTCTATCACAACAATAATCTATACATTTACACCCAATTCTTAATCATTCTGTAGTATAAATTACAGTAATCTTCTTAATATTCATTCTCAGACTTTGTTTTGGTCTTAAGAATTCTCATACTTCGTTTACCTCTATACTTCTCTGGAAAATATCAACTTGAGTCATTAACCCTTAGTCAAATAGCAGCCGGTTAGCGGATCGCTATAGCGGAAAATAGCCATGTAAAGCGGAATCAAATCAATAGCGATGGATCGCGGCCACAATTTAACGGGTAGCGGCCAATCACGGAAATAGCATACCGTTATTCCACTATTTTAATTTTCATTTTAAAAAATTCAGTTTCATTTTATAAAAAAATCAATTCTTTTAGAAAAAAAATTCATAATCACCATACCAGCAATAACCGTAATTACATTCATTATATCTACAATCGCGATAAACATAAAGCAATAGAAAAGATTAGCAAGGTCAGTGATAGTAGAAAAACAAGGTCAGTGATCCATAATAATATTCCTGAACCCAAAAGCTTAGCAATGCTTGTTTCTCTCACTTACCACAGCATCATCTTCAACCCCCAGGTTCTAGGAGTTTTGTTAGCTCGGTTCCTCAAGCTAGTAAGTAGCTGTGCTGCCCTTGAGCCAGTGAACCTCAGGTCGAAAGATGCAAGCCAGTGAGACAGAGCCATTCCAACCAAGGGGTGGTACCAATGCTTTCGATTGATTTCATATATGTTCACGATCTAGTCAAGAATAGAATTCTAGTACGAGTAGCAAAACTTACTCTTATCAAAGGGAGGACTTTCCGGCTCCTCCGACCTTTTCGCTTTGGGCATATCTGCCACTTGAGCTGCAGGACAGTAATTATTGCACTCCGATCTAAGTGAAATTTTTATCAAACCCCGGGAAAAAGAGCATGGCGCCATAAAAAAGGTGTGTCATTCCTCCGGAGACGGTATCGGGACTTTTCTGTGTGTTCTTGTATCAAGGAGAGAGGGATCTAATCTCTTGTTTTTGATCCCCATGCTTACCACCCTTGGGAAGGTGTCCTGCTCCCTTGATATGGGCTCCAATGATCCGTCTCTGGCGGGCATTCCTACCCTTTAGGCTAAAGAAATGTAATTATGGAGAGCCCTTATAGTCAAGAATTCGAGGAAACCCAGGGAAAAAGCCATGGATTACCGGGATACATAAAAACCGGTATAATTCCGAGGCCTTTCCCTTTTGCATTTCTCATCCCTTGAATAGAGCCTATAGACATACCCATGTGTATTCCCTATCTGCCCGTAAGCCTTCTTGGCCGCCTTGCACGCCCACCTTCCCCGGCTTAGTCTTCGTTTTACTTTCCCCTTCGGGTAGGATGAAGGGCATCTGAACGTAACGCTTTCTATAGTACTCTCTCCTTGACTTTCAGTCTAATGTCAATTATGTGTATGTGATGTATTATAATGAAATGATGTTAGCATATATAGCGTCAGATGTAAAGAAAGTAGAGCATTCTACGAAAGAGAAAGCGAAGAAGTATATGAAATCGAAGCGCATTGGAATCATCGATCATATAGAATGTGTGCCGCGAGTGATCAGTCTGCGCAAAGGCAGAATAGCGGATGGGCTTGTCTTGCCTCTATCTTCCCATTCCTTGTAAGAAGTCCTAGGAGCCAAGGCAGTAAGGAAACCAGTCTTTTGTCTTGTCTTTTATAAGTCTTTCCTACCTACTAACCCTACCCATATGCTCACCCCCTGCTTTTACTTTGCTGCATGTTCCACTTGTATGAAATTCCCATGGCGCATATCATACAACCTAAACATGCATACGTAGTAAAAATAAAGCAAACAAACCCTACTTTAAATATAAAATTAATAATTATAAACAACCCAAATGGATAAAGTGTGTAAGAAACGAGCATCATCGATTCAACATAAGGCACAAGGCAGTTTAAAACCCATATAGCTAATTATGCATATACCAGCAGTGAACATCTTCACTAGCTGTATCCACCAGAGATGGCAGATCTCAGTCTCCGACATCCGGAAAAAATTCCAGTTGTATTTTTGTTATCTAACTATTTAAAGCTATATGATCACTTGAATGAAGACAATGTCAAAGACAAAACATGTACTGTGTTCCAGGCAACTTGTTATATCGGAAAACAAGAACAAAAACAAAGCCTGTAACCCTAGTTGAGTCTAGCCTTTGACTTATCACCATCATCAATGAATAAAGCACCACTGAAAAAAAAACACCATTATCAGACTCTTTTAGGGCCAAACCCTTACTGAAAATTGCCTAGTGAATTCATATATAAGTCAACTTCAAACCCTAACCGAGTAAGGAACTCGATATAAGTAAAGTTTTATATGTTCGAGTCTTGTGAATGAAAAATATATTCGAGATTTGTTGCGATTACCTGAGTAATATGACCATGAGAGAAAGAGGAGAGAGAGATACTATGAAATAGTGGAAGTAAGACTTTGAAAAGTAATTATTATAAAGTTCACAGCATGATATATAAAATAATATAAATAGTCAAGCTCTAAATTACATCCCTATTTTATGTTTCTCTCACACTAATTATCTTAATTTCCTCAATAACTCAAGCATAAAGCTCAGTTTTTCAGACAATAATTGATGATTTAAGTCATTATTCAAAGCTAATTAAGAAATAAACAAACAATATAAAAAGCTAGCTAGCCTAGTGACTAGATAAATTAATTAATTCAACCATGAACAAGTCCATACGATAAGGCCATCAGCAGAATGGCAGCTTCCTTCTCATCCTGCGGGAAAACTCGATGAAAAGCCGAGTTCTTGCTCAATATTACCCTCAAATCCTCGAAACAAAGCTTCTTTCTACCTTGGGATTGGGAACCAAGTTTGCACTTTTTATTGTTCTTTAACTTTGCAAGACAGCCATTACTTGATCTCTTTTCTTTGTTTTGAATCTTTGTCTTCGTACTTGTCGTTGTCTCAGCTGCAACAATGGTCCCATTCGACGCTGCGGCTGCCGCAGCAGCCATTGCCCGTCTTGCTTTTCGTTGTCGAATTCCACAGGCGTTGCAGAGAGACTGCAGTTCATATGTTTAACTTAGATTTTATGATAGAGGGTATTGATTAGGAGAGCTAAAGAGTTGAAATTTTATAATTATATACCTTGGGACCTCTAGGACCACTCCTCCAAAGAGGAGTCTTAGTTGTATTGCAATCAGCACAAACCCTAATGAGACTGTTGTTGTTATCATAGTAGGAAGAGATGCTGCTGTTATCCGGAGATGACGAGGGCTGATTGATCTGAACCTTCTGGTCTTCGAATTTCGTCGAGCTTTTTGAAAAATCCGAGTGCTCCGAGCTCATCATCTTCCTCAAAATCCTCATCTTTGAAGGCATCCACTTATAAGAACTGTCCTCGTGGCGATGATCATCACTTTCCCCCCTTTCTTCTTTCTTCCATATCGATAACTTGAGTTTTCCATCCTCTGGAACATATATCTTAGCCTGAAAATCAGAAATTTTAGATACACACGTATATATATAGCAAATGATCATAACCCTAAGTGACCAGATCAAAACATATACCTGATCTTGAAACACCTGGGGTTCTCTTTGACAAGAACCTGCTTGGTTTTGAACAGTTGGGTTGGAGAAAGTAGGACAAGTAAGAGAGGAGGAGGAAGATGATGAAGAAGGTTGAGATTTTAAGGCAAAAAGATGGTGTTGTTGGTGTTGATCATCTTCGTTAAGGTCAAAAGGAAAAGGATAAAGGGAAGAATAGCAATTACTAGAAGTCATGAGAGGAGCAAGACAGAGAGAAGAATCAAGTGATGAACATAGATATTGTTGGTGTTGTCTACTAAAGGTGGAGGATCAATGTTTTGAAGAAGAGATTGAAGAGAAAAGAAGGGAGAGAGAGAGAGAGGAAATGAAAACAAGAGGTTCACGTGATTTCATACACATGAGACCATGTTAAAAAAAGACAAAAGGGGGAAGAAGATGAGTATGGAATGCTATGCTACTGCTGTTCCATCCTATTCAGAAATATTTAAAGGAAAAGGAAAAAACCCTATCTGCAGGAATTCTTACTCTCCTTTTTGATGTCATTCTAGAAACAAAAAGATAAGAGTTCTTCGTTTCATGGTAGCCACACAAATTAATCATATAATATTCCACTAATTTAAACATATAAAAACAAAACTTTGATCCCCATTTCTGATCATCTTCTCACAGGTTGTGATCTCTATGGTAGATACAATGATACATAAAATATACATACACCCAAATTTATCGTTATTAAATATGATGATAGTAAAAAAGATGCATACATGTGATATATATATTTCCATTCTTCACCACCTTAGTGTTGCCAAAAGCATTGAATACAATGCGCAGGCAAGAGACAAATGCAGCACCCCACACTTTTGCCAATTGCCATCAGTCTTGCATCTCAGAGTTCTTACATCTTCGTTCTTCTTTTTTGAACCAAGTTCTTACATCTTCTTTCGCTACTGACTCTGTCGTGTTTCACACATAACTGCATTGTTACATAGTTTTTACCTAGAAATGTTTATATATACACACATGCATATATATAAGCAGACAGCAGCTGCCCAGACATCATTTGAAGCTATATAATTACCATGGGGAAGCTGAACGACAAGTGTGAAAACATGTTTTATATATATACAGAGAGAGAGAAGCCGGGGAAAGAAAGGAACAAGATAACAGAAAAGCTTGTTGCTCTAAAAGCTACATATGTTAAGGTAATAAGGTGAGGATTAGATTTCCGCTTTTTTCAACCCAAATATACTATTTTTATAATTAAATATTAAAATAATATTTATCTCTAATTATTAAGTTGAAATAAGTAAACGTGGTTTGTACACATCACTTAAATTCAGAGAATGTACAGTTAATTAGGCATGTTTTTAACACATATGGCACTATTTTAAAAAATGTGAAGTTTGAACTTATTAAGTGGTATCGGTAATTAGAGTGAATGTTGTTGTCTATAGAAGTCTTGGATTTAAATACATACGTATGAAGATGTGTATACATTATCAATGACAAAAAAAATTCTGAATAAATTCTACTTTATAATCACCGTAGACTATTTTGAAAGAGATGTGCCTATTAAAATACATTTTCCATGAGCTTTGAACAATACACGAGTTATCATTGTTAAAGAATCTAGATTATAAAAAGAAAATGAAAGAAAAAAAATTAAAGAATTTTATCTAAAAACGACAAAATATGTATAGTACGTGTTAACACGAGTATAAACCAGACAACAACAAAGACATTATACATTTTTGCATAAGAGATTCTGAGGATTCTAGAGTTTTATTTAAAAAATCCCATGATCACTATGGAGTTAACTTGTTGTTTCCATCACTTCGATACAATCTCTCGATATAATCGTTGTCAATTTCATCACTAATTAAATCTATAATTTGACAGTCGGATCTATTAACTTACCAACTCATCAACAGCTATCAATCCTAGAACAAACACTAGTCACCTTATTGTTTGGTGTCAGTGACATATATACCCACACAATAAAAATCAACAAGGAAGATCCGAAAATCTCGTACTCAATGTTTATCATCTACTCTAATTATTTTTTTTCATTTCTGTAAATACCGATTACGATTCTCCACTTAATCGAAAAAAAGGATAAAACGCCTAAAATCACAGCTTTCTTACTAAAACAATAAAAAAAAACTTCAAAATTTATCTTAATCAACTTACGTTTGTAACTGAATAACGTAATCTTTTTCTCTTCAAGCTTATTACTTTTTAAAAAATATTAAGATTATTTTTAAATAGTAGTTGTATATATTTTTAATCTTATATGCATATAACTTAGAATATTTTTTATATTCGTACTTTTATATTATATTATTATTATAAAAGTAAATTTTAAATAATATATAACTAAAAATATTTAAAATTTGAACTTTTTAATTTTGACCACTTGGGCCATTAGTTAAAATATCTATGAAAGGATACCACATCATCACATGAACAAAGACATGGATTTTATTTGTCTGAAACCGTAGAGTGTGCAGTGAAAGCGTTTATTACAAAACACACTCTGTCCCTCTCCCCCCCGGCGGTGTCCTCAGATCTGATGTGTATTCGGTATTATCCTTTTGTTGCTTTCGAAAGAGATACGTATCGTTACTCTAAAAATTCCCTATTTCCATAATTTTTAAATATCACATTGATATTAAAAAATATATGGTTAAATTACATCATTCATTCCTCAACTTTACTCTATACTATTTCACTCGATGTACTTTACTTTTTTTTAAATTTAATTACTCAACTTTTATTTTACTCCTATTTTGGTCACTCTACAATGACATGGATTATTTTATAAATATTTCCATATGACGTGATATAATTTATTAATATTTTAATGCCACATAAGATTATAATAAAAAACCCAAATTATACCATTAAATTTAAACTCAAACTCTAAACCCCAAATCATATCTAAATCATATACTAAACCCTAAACCCCAAATTACACCCTCACCCCACCCTCACCCTCACCCTCACCCTCACCCTCCCACCAGTGGTGGACAGTGGCTCATCGGCCATTGTTCAAGTTGTTATATGAAATCCAATTTGATCCATCAGCTTCAACATTGAATTTGTGTACTAAATAAACCAACATCGTGCTCACATAATTTCTAATTAAAATTATTGTACAAAACAGTGTAGTAGCATTGAATTCCAAGTGCCCAGTCGACATGAATAAAGCTTCACTTTAATGAAGCATGCTACTAAAGTGCCCAATACTGAAATCACAAATTCGATTCTCATCCAGTGCAAAAAGTTGATGCCCCAATCAAGCCCTGTGTATGTTAGGAAAATACGGACTAAAATGTAGTCATAAAAGACTACGGTGGAAAGCATTAAAAGGCTCCAGTCAAAACTAGAAAAGGTGAAGAACTAAACTGTCGTCGATGAGCCACCGTCCACCGGCAAGAGGGTAAGGCTGAGGGTGGGGTTGTAATTTTTGGATTTAGGGTTTGTATACAGTTTATGTATGATTTGGGGGTTTAGAGTTTAGGTCTAAATTTAAGGGTATAATTTAGATTTTTTAATTAATTTATTTTTATTATAATATTATATGGCATTAAAATATTAATAAATTATGCCACATCATTTGAAAAATATTTTTAAAATAATTCATGTCATCATAGAATGACTAAAATAGGAGCAAAACAAAAGTTGAGTGATTAAATTGAAAAATAAAATAAAATTACAGTGAGTAAAATAGGAGACTGAGTAAAGTTGAGTGGTGAATGGTGTAATTTACCCAAAATATATATCATAATAACTTTAAATATTATTATTATTATTATTACAAAAATAATAATATACCATATTATTTTCGTAAATATGAATATACCATTCTATTTGCTTGAAATATCTTAGAAAATATGTAAAATTGATTATTTTTATAAATAAATATTTATTACTCGCATATTCATTTGACCTTTCAAGGATGATTTAATTATGTGTAACACAGGAGAGGTCATGGCTCACAAAAAAATGGAGTCTAATTGTTTTCTTTTTTAAACTTTTTTTTTAATTTTTAATTTTAATAAATTAAATATTGATACTTATTCTCAATATATTCTTAGATTGATATTTTCAATAATAATATTATAAAATAGTTTTTTTTGAAATATTTTCTAATTAAAAATTAGTGTTACAATTAAAACTTATTTTAATTTATTTCTAGAATTAATATTTTTTTAGTTTTTCTAAAATTGCTCGTGTTTTTTTTTGCCCTCCTAGTTTCTTAAAACTTTGTCCTAACTAGGGGTATAAACGAGCCGAGTCGAGCTCGAGTATTGCTGAGCTCGACTCGACTCGAAAACTTTGAAATGAAGCTCGACTCGACTCGAAAACTCGCGAGCTTAAAGTTTTCAAGCTCGACGCGAACTCGAAATCCTAAACTGAAGCTCGTGAGCAGCTCGAAAAGGCTCGAAATGAAAAAAAATTCTTAAACTTAACTCGATTAAAGCCTCAAACTCAAACTCGAACATGAACATTAAATACAAGAAATCTTAATGTATTTTTTATAAAAAATCAATACACAATATCTCATTTTATTGATCTATGTTGTACATCTAATTTTAGTGATCTATGTTGTACATCTAATTTTATTGTATTTTTTATTGATCTATGTATTTTAATGTATTTTAATGTATTTTTTATTGATCTATGTATTCTTAAACTTGTACATCTAATTTTTTATTGATCTATGTATTTTAATGTATTTTTTATTGAACTAATATAAACTGATCTATGTTGTACATCTAATTTTAGTGAGCGAGTTTCCCAGTTAAGATTTTCTGTATACACAATATCTCAAACTCAAAATTTATTTAATCGATATTAAACTACTTATCATTTAAATCAACCTCTTTATTACACGTGCTTTGATTTCAACAATGATATTTTGTAGAAAAAATAATCGCATGCAGTAGGTATAGGGTTGACATCGATGGACATGATATGTTAGCACAACAGAGAGAAACGGTATAGTAATATATATAGATTAACTGAAAAATAATTTGATTAAATATATTGATTAGACTGAAAAATAAATAAAAAGCATATATTATTAAAAAGTAAATAATTTATACGATGAAGAAGCAGGCTACGTAGACAGGGTGTTAATCACAGCTAAAAGAGGATGGTTTAGAGGTTAGAAGAGGTGGAGACACATGGATGGAGACGTTATAAAATCTTATCGTGAATTGGTGTCAGTG